CCTAGCACTCTGGGAGGCCGAGGCGGGAGGATCGTTTGAGCTCAAGAGTTCGAGACCAGCCTGAGCAAGAGTAAGACCCCGTCTCCACTAAAAAATAGAAAGAAATTAATTGGACAACTAAAAATATATAGAAAAAATCAGCTGGGCATGGTTGGCATATGCCTGTAGTCTGAGCTACTCAGGAGGCTGAGGCAGGAGGATTGCTTGAGTCCAGGAGTTTGAGGTTGCTGTGAGCTAGGCTAACGCCATGGCACTCTAGCCCAGGCAACAGAAGTGAGACTGTGTCTCCAAAAAAAAAAAAAACACATGGCCTTTCGCATCTGACATCTTTCACTTTAGTGTAGTGTTTTTGAAAGTCATCCATACTGTAGTATGTATCAGTACGTCATTCCTTCTTTTGGCTGAATAATATTCCAGTGTATAAATATACCACATTTTGTTTATATGTTCATCAGTTGATGGACATTTGGGTTGTTTCCACTTTTGGATTATTATGAATAATGCTGCTGTGAGCATTCATTTACTAGTTTTTGTGTAGCCATATGTCTTAACTTTTCCTGGATATATGCCTAGGAATAGAACTGGTGGGTTATGTGGTAACTGTGTTTAACATTTTGAGGAACTCCCAGACTGTTTTTCACAGCAGCTGCGCCATTTTATGTTCCCGCCAGCACTGTAAGAGAGTTCGTTTGTTTTATTATAGCACCCATTAATATTTTCAAAAATGTTTTATGAAAAACTGTTGTCGAATTTTAGCAAATGCCTTTTCATCTTATATGGAGATTATCGGAAGGTTTTTTTGCTATGCTCTCTTAATATATGATAATTTATTGACAAATGAATAGATTTCTAAATATTTATTTTGTTGATTTTTATTAGTTGTCATCCCAGATTTTTTTTCCTCCTTTGGAACAGGAAACTATTAATAGTTTATAGACATGTAGCTGTTGAATAATAACTAAAAATGCCACTGAGGATATTTAAGTTAGTTGGTAGGTATGTTCAGAGTACAAGAGTTAGTTCCTATTTTCTTACAGACTTCACATCAAGATCTTTAGTTCAAGATGAGTTTGGTCTAAGATTAAAAGGATAATAAATAATTTAAATATTTACTTGTATCTTTTATAAAATTAAAAAAATCCTACCTCATACAAATTTATAGGTAAGTTTTTTAGTTTTTTTTTTTTTTAATGGTGAAAGTATGAGCTAGTTCATTTTAATTAGTCTCTTTTGCTTAGGTATTTATAGTTGGTAGGTGAGGAGATAATATATTTGGTAGCACTAGTCATGATAATTTCTAAGTCCAATTTTACACTTGATCTTAGCCAAAAGGCCGAGAAGCAATTCTAAGTCCAATTTTAGAAAAACAACATGAGTGTAAAACAGATATGAGCATAGGTTTATGGGTGTGCACTTTTTAAAAAAAGAACTTTATTGTTTTCAAACACAATATATATACTTTTACTTAAACACCAGAAATTATAGAAAGCAAAAGGAAAAAGTGAAAGCCTGTAATCCCATGACCCAGAGAAAACTTTCATTACTATTTATGTATATATGCAGTATACATACACTCATGCATCACTTAATGATGGGGAAACATTCTGAAAAATGTGTCATTAGGTAATTTCATTGTTGTGTGAATGTCACAGAGTGTACTTACACAAATCTAGATAATATAGCTTGGTATATACCTAGGCTATATATATGATTGCTCCTTGGCTACAAACCTGTCTAACATGTTACTGTACTGAATACTGTAGGCAGTTGTAATACAATGGTAAGTATTTGTGTATCTAAACATATCTAAATATAGAAAAGGTACACTAAAATGACAATATAAAAGATAAAAAGTGGTATGCCCATATAGGGCACTTATGATGAATGGAGCTTGCAGGACTGGAAGTTGCTTTGGGTGAGTCAGTGAGTGGTGAGTGCATGTGAAGGCCTAGAACATTATTATATACTTATATATAGGCCTTATAACCACTGTATACTTAGGCTACACTAAATTTATAAAAAAAAGTTTTTCTTTCTTAAATAATATGTTAACCTTAATTTACTGTAACTTTTTTACTATATAAACTTTTAAAATTTTAAAAACTTTTTTTTTTTTTTTTTTTTGGAGACAGTCTCACTCTGTTGCCTGGGCTAGAGTGCCATGGCATCAGCCTAGCTCATAGCAACCTCCAACTCCTGGGCTGAAGTGATCCTCCTGCCTTAGCCTCCCGAGTAGCTGGGACTACAGGCATGTACCACCATGCCCGGCTGATTTTTTTCTCTATATATTTTTAGTTGTCCAGCTAATTTCTTTCTATTTTTAGTAGAGAAGGGGATCTCACTCTTGCTCAGGCTGGTCTCGAACTCCTGAGCTGAAACAGTCCACCCGCATCAGCCTCCCATAGTGCTAGGATTACAGATGTGAGCCACCACACCCAGCCTTAAAAACCTTTTTGACTCTTATAGTAACACATCTTAAAACACAAATACATTGTACAGCTGTACAAAAATCTTCTCTTTATTTCCTTATTTTATAAGTTTTTTTCCATTTATAAAAATTTTTATTTTTATTTTTACTTTTTAAACATTTTTGCCAAAAACTAAGACACAACAGACACATTAACTTGGGCCTACCTAGTGTCAGGATTATCAATATCACTGTTTTCCACCATGACATCTTGTTCCACTGAAAGGTCTTTAGGGGCAGTAACGTGCATGGAGTAGTCACCTCCTATGATAACAAAGCCTTCTTTGGTAATACTTTCTGAAGGACCTTCCTGAGGCTGTTTTACAGTTAATTTTAGTACACTCTAAAGCAATGATAAAAGTATAGTATAGTAAATTACAAAAACTACTGTTTTACAGTTAATTTTAGTACACTCTAAAGCAATGATAAAAGTATAGTATAGTAAATACAAAAACCATTAACAGTTGTATATCATTGTCAAGTATTATATACTGTACATAATTATATGTGCTGTACTTTTATATGACTGGCAGCACAGTAGATTTGTTTAAACAAACATCACTATAACATGTGACTATTTTGCTATAACATTATGATAGCTACAGTGTCTCTAGGCAATAGGAATTTTTCAGTTCTATTATAATTCTGTGGGACCACTGTCACATATGCAGGTTGTCATTGGCCAAAACTTCTTATTTGGTATATGAATTTATATACAGTATATATATATTCATACAGTATATAGATTGGCATATATAATAGTTTATATATCTTTTCTTAATGAGACTAGAATAATTGCATTTTAAAGGACTGTATATAAAAGACTTTGATATATGTTAAATGTTTCATAATGTACAGTATCCCATGGGGAAAAGAGTCTTGCCTTTTTTCCTCTAATTTTTAAATTGTCATAAAATTTATATAACATAAAATTTACTATCTTAATCATTTTTAAGAGTATAGTTGAGTTTCAACAAACTCACAAGGCATGCAAAGAAACAAGGAAGTATGCCCCACTCAAAGGAAAAAAATAAGCCAATACAATTATCCCTGAAAAAGACCTGACAGTATATCTACTAGACAAAGACTTTAAAACAATAGTCTTAAAGATTCTCAAACAAGGTGAAAAACCCACAGCTAACATTATTCAATGATACTAGCCTCAAAGAATGAGTTAGAGAATGTTCCTTCCCTTCAATTTTTTGGAAATGTTTGAGAAAAATTAGTATTGGTGCTTTCAGTGTTTGAGAGAATCTACCAGTGAGGCCATCAGGTCCAGGGCTTTTCTTTGCTGGGAGAGTTTTGATTGCTTTTTCAATCCTAGTTATGGGTCTATTCAGATTTTCTGTTTCTTTTTGATTTAGCCTTGTAGGTTTGTGTTTCTAGGAATTTGTCCATTTCATCCAGTTTATCTAATTTGTTGCTCTACAATTGCTCATAGTAGTGTCTCATGGTCTTTTGATTTGTGTAGAACAGTTGTAGTGTTTACCACTTTAATTTCTGACTTTAGTAATTTGATTTTTCTCCTTTTCCCCCCCTAAGTCCATCTAGGTAAATGTTTGTCATTTTTGGGGATCTTTTTTGAGGAACAAACTTTTGGTTTCATTGATTTTCTGTATTACTTGTTGTGCTCTCTATTTTGTTTATTCTTTATTATTTCCTCCCTTTTGCTAATCTGAGGTTTAATTTGTTCTTCTTTTTCTAATGCCATAAGTTGTAAAGTTAGGTTGTTGGCTTGAGATCTTTCTTGTTTTTCAATGTGTTTGTAGCTATAAATTTTCCCTTAGCACTGTTTTTCATATTTACATTTTGCTCACACCTAGTTTTCTTTACTTTCACCATTTTTTTCTTTTAATTGTTTGAGAATCTTTTTTGTTTTTTTGAGACAGAGTCTCACTCACCCTGTTGCCCGGGCTAGAGTGCCGTGGCGTCAGCCTAGCTCAGAGCAACCTCAAACTCCTGGGCTCAAGCAATCCTGCTGCCTCAGCCTCCGAGTAGCTGGGACTGCAGGCATGCGCCACCATGCTGGCTAATTTTTTCTATATATTTTTAATTGGCCAATTAATTTCTTTCTATTTTTAGTAGAGACGGGATCTTGCTCTTGCACAGGCTGGTTTCAAACTCCTGACCTTGAGTGATCCTCCCGCCTCCACCTTCCAGAGTACTAGGATTACAGGTGTGAGCCACCACTATTTTGAGTGCTTTATGTATTTCAAATAACTAAATTTTACAATATTCCTATGAGGTGAATGCTTATTATCCCCATTTTACCAAAGAGGAAACTGAAGCTCATAGAAATCAAATGACTTGGAAAGCGTCATACCTCTAGTAAGTGGTTTAGCTGGGATTGGAGTGTAGGTCCTCTGACTGCACAGACCATGCTGTTAGCACTATTTCTAAGCACATAAAGATGAACGAAATATTGTTCTTTCTCTTACACATCTTATAAGGCAGTATTTGAAGATGTGTTGATAAATTTACATGAAATTATTAAGTTATACTTTTGGTAATTAATTTTTATTTGTATTTTTAGGACATTCAGTCAGAAGAAGGCTGCTATTGAAAGAGAGTATGCACAGGTAAGCTTGGAATTGGAGGCCCCTTTTAGATATACCTGTTCTCCTTGGCTTAAGGGCAGATATGCTTGTTGGGAGAGAAGCCCCAACAAGGGGCTTATGGGGATATAGTATCCCCATATCCTCCTTTTCTTGTTTCTGGCTATTGAATCTTCAAGTGGGGACCTAAGTAGCTCCTTATTACAATGAAGATTGTGAACCTTCGGGGAGAAGACATTTTTACAACATTTGTAAAATATTTACAAATAAGCGTAATAATGAATACATTTTACAAGTATGTTTATTTATTCTCCTTTATATGCCTCATTCTCTCCAGTTTAATTTTTATGTTTATTCAGTCAGGCACTTATTTCTTATTATGATCCTGTTGACAAAGGGTGGTGTGTTTTCAATGGATGGTATGGAGCTATTTCTAAGGAAATTTAAGCATTTCTTTCTTTAATTTTAATTAGACTTTGTGTCTCAATGGCCAAACATGCCAAGAAAAAATTATGTCAGTATTTCATTTTGTATTTCATTTATCAGCATTTCATTTCATTTTATATAAGAATTGATAACTATTCTTACATGTACAAAACCAATTTAACATAATTTGGAAATTTTGGAAATTTAACACATTTTTTTGAAATATAAAAATTTTGGAATTTTTTTGAAATTTAACAAATTTGGAAATTTTCACCCTTTTAAGTAGTTACTTTCTATGTGGGGTAGAATTCTAAAATTGTTATCTCCCACCCCCAAATTGTAAAAGTTGTATTTATAGCAAAATTTTAAAATACAGGAGATTGTTAGGAAAAATTAACATACAGTAAATGTTCTTCATGGTAACCATTATTGCTGCTGCTATTGTTATTCTCATTATAAACAATGAAATTGAGGCATAATTTTCTTTTTGTGTGTGTGCTTTGTCAGGTTTTAGTTTTATTCTGATTTTGTTATAGTTAATTAGATAGCTGTCTGTCTTTATTTGATTTGGTAGTTTTAGAAGAAAATTATATATTCCTTGAAAGCCATATAGAACTCATTCAGTCAGTAGTTGCTGAGTGTTTATCATCTAACAAGTGCTTTATATAATGAATAGCATGAGTTTTAAAAATTATGTTGAACCCTTTTTCTATGTATGTATAATAAATACTAGTAATGATAGCCAACATTTATTGAATCCTTACTTTGTTCGAGGCTCTTTGCTGAGTATTTTATATATGTTATTTGGTTTAATCCTTTCAATAATCCTGTGAAATAGGAATAATTATTATATCCTTTTTATGGATATATTTTCATATATATATATAACATGTATATTCTTAAAATTGAGATAAAAGTTTATGATATGCTTTAAAAATATAATGCAAAGTGAAAAATTTTATATGATATGTTCTTCTGTAAGAAGATTTAAAGTTTTAATCAAGTAAATAGGACATGTTCATGATTAAAAACATAAAATATTAATAGTACATTAAATTGTATGAAAAGTAACAGTCCTCTGCTCTAATCCCATTCTCTTGCCTAAGAGAAAAGATTAAAAACAGACACCTACTTTGATTCTCTTGGTGATTATTTCCATATCTTTTTTTTTTTTTTTTTTCTGAGATAGAGTCTCACTTTGTTGCCCAGGCTAGAGTGAGTGCCGTGGCGTCAGCCTCGCTCACAGCAACCTCAAACTCCTGGGCTCAAGCGATCCTCCTGCCTCAGCCTCCCAAGTAGCTGGGACTACAGGCTTGCGCCACCATGCCCGGCTAATTTTTTCTATATATATTAGTTGGCCAATTAATTTCTTTCTATTTTATAGTAGAGACAGGGTCTTGCTCTTGCTCAGGCTGGTTTCAAACTCCTGACCTTGAGCATTCCACCCGCCTCAGCCTCCCAGAGTGCTAGGATTACAGGCGTGAGCCACCGCACCCGGCCGATTTCCATATCTTTAAATAATGTGCTTATAACCGATTTTTTTTTATTTTAGCGTATTATGGGGGTATAAGTGTTAAGGTTACATATGTTGCCCATGCCCTCCCTCCCCCCATAACTGATTTCTGATTTATCAACTCTAGACAGATTGCTTGATTACTTATAGTAAACTTACTAATTATTCATTCCTTTCCAACCTATTCTTTCCAATATAACTGTGGCACTATTTTAGTACCTTTGTTACTTTAATAACTATGACTGACATATTTAAACTTCTCTTTTTCCATCAAATACACATATATACACACACATTTATGTTATATATAGGAATATGTATACATGTGTATATATGTATGTATATACTACAGGGAACTATATTTTACAGAGTGGTCAAATTTACCCTGGAAAATTTTCTTTAAATGTCTATCAAATATATTATACCTGGTTTTGTTTATATAATCCTATATAATAATATATGCAAACTATATAAGGTATCTAGCAATGTATATTTCAAAATTTCATAAAGTAATCATTCAGAAATTAAAATGCTCCAGTGTTTCTCTCCTTGGGACAATTGAGCACATTTACAGAGAGCCAGACGTTGTCATCATATTTGCCCTTTGGATGATTTTTCTCAGTTTATCTTACTCCTCAATGTTTTCCTAATTATTTATTTTATTTATTTACTGAGTATATAGACAAATATATGTCTTCTTGTTTGGTTACGTAAACATTATTTTTACTTATTGGCAGTAGTAGAGAAACCCCTAAAACAATTGACACATTCTTTCTATAGATTTTATCACCATGCACTGATTATTTCAGGCTTATTTGCAATTCCTGCATGAGGACATACCTTCATTGGTGATAGGATGTGGTCAGAGAGGACAGTTGCGCTATTTCATTTATCTCTTTTTCTTACCTTCTTTGCTTTATTGTAGTGTTGAAATTTTGGAAGATAAATTTGTAGAAATTGAAATATCGCATATACAATAAGACTGACGGACAAATCTTGAGTATACTGTTTGATACATTTTTGTGAACAGTCACGTAACTGCTATCCAGATTAAGATATAGAACATTACCAAGGCCCCAAAAGAAGTCAATACTTATATTTTTCAATGGTAACAAGTATACTTTTATCAGAATAGTTATTATTTTGGGTTTTCTGATACTTTTTGAACTTAAATGTATCATAGAGTATGTACCCTTCTGTGTCTGATTTCTTTCATTCAGTATTGTTTTTAAGCTTCATACATGTTATTGCATGTAGGAGTAGTTCATTCTTCTTTGCTTTATTATATCCACTGAATGAATATATTAATATAACAATTTGTTTTTCCAGTGTACTGATGAAGAAAATTTGAGTTGTTTCTAGTTTTGTATGATACTGACTAGTGCTTCTAAGCAGAGATTTTAGACATGTCTTTTGGTGGACATATATACATATTTCTATTAATATTTGGTATACATCTGAGAGTAGAACTGATGCATTTTGGGTATTTGTATGTTCTACTTTAGTGGATACAGGCAAACAGTTTTCCAAAGTGATCATAGCAATTTACACTCTCACCAGTTATGTATGGGAGTCCCAGTTACTCCATATCTTTTGCCAACATTTGGTATTATCTAAAATTGAGAAGAGTGAGATTTTGATGAGTGTATCATAGTATCTCATTTTCTTTTTAATAAGCTTTTAAAGAACTGACATATAACATACATATAGAGAAGTATGCAGGTCATAGTTATGACCTCTAGGAATATTCATGGAACTCCATGAATTTTCAAAGTGAACATTCCCATATAGATAGCATCCAGGTCAAGAAATAGAACATTAACAACATCTCAGAGACCCCTCTTCTTCTCTGTCTTTACTGCCCTCACTCTCACACAAGGAGATTTATTGTGATATGGTTGACACATAATAAACTGTACTGTTTATTAATACAATTTGCTAAGCTTTAACATATGCATATGCCTGTGAAACCATCATGCATTACAATCAAGATAACAAAACACATCGATAAGCCCCAAAGTTTTCTTGTGTCTCATTATAATCCCTCACTCCCAATTACTTCTCCTTGATTCCCTTTCCCCATCATTCTTAGGCAATCACTGATTAGCTTTCTATCACTATACATTCATTTGCATTTTCTAGAATTTTAATTTAATAAATGATATCATACAGTTTGTACTTTCGTTTGTCTGGCTTCTCTCATTCAGCATAATTATTTTGTAATTTATGTTGTTACATTCATCAATATTTCATTTCTTTTTTATTGCTGTTTATTATTCCATTGTATGGATATATCACAATTTATCCATTTACCTGTTGATGGACATTTGAGTTATTTCTATTTTTTGGATATTATAAATAAAGCTGCTGTGAACATTTGTGTGTGAACAGATGGTTTCATTTCTCTTGGGTAAATGGAGGGGAGTTGCTAAGTCATTTTTAACTTTTAAATAATTATCAAATTGTTTTCCATTTTACATTCCTTCTTGAAATATATGAGAGTTCCATATACTTATGCCACTTATGCCACATCCTCCCCAACACTAGATAGAGTCTTTTTAATCTTAGGTATTGTAATAGATGTATAGTGGTATTTATTGTGGTTTTAATTTGTATTTACCTAATGTCTAATAATGTTAAATGTCATTTTCATGTGTTTATTTGCCATCTGTATATATTCTATGGTGAGCTGTTTTTTTTTTTTCAGATATTTTAAATTTTTAAAAAATTGAGCGGTTTGTTTTCTTATTGATTTTTTAAAAAACTTATTATTATGAAAGTTTTCAGACATATGTATGTGAAAGAATAAGAAATTAGCACAATGAACTCTTTTTTTTTTTGAGACAGAGTCTCGCTTTGTTGCCCAGGCTAGAGTGAGTGCCATGGCGTCAGCCTAGCTCACAGCAACCTCAAACTCCTGGGCTCAAGCAATCTTGTTGCCTCAGCCTCCCGAGTAGCTGGGACTACAGGCATGCGCCACCATGCCTGGCTAATTTTTTCTATAGATATTAGTTGGCCAATTAATTTCTTTCTATTTATAGTGGAGACGGGGGTCTCGTTCTTGCTCAGCTGCTTTCAAACTCCT